AATGGTCAAAAAAATCTCAAATGCAGTACCCTGCTCAAAAGGAGGTCTTGAGACCCTGCGAGACTTCGTGGTGATAAATCGTTACGCGCGATTCAAGGTCGCTCACAACAGTCACGAATTCATCCTTAATAGAGGGTTTTTGGGGGGGTTAGATCGCGTAAATATATAAATGTGTCGTTAAAACCCGCCACCACCCGACACAGCCATCTAGTAAGGGTTGTCACGTAAACAGAACGTGGCCAATTCGTCACTGGTACAGCACACCGGTGTGTTGGAGAGCCAAGCCACAACATTTACAATCCGAGTACGACGTTTCGCCAGTAATTACAACTAGCTTCATCAGGCGACAGCCAGATTTGTACAGAAGTCCACCTGTTTCGCTCCTTATATAGAGGCGTAGATGTGGTGACCACGCTTCTGCGCTCTTGCGCAAGGTGGGAGGGGGGCTAATAAACTGCGTGTGGTATTACCTTTGAATCTCTGCATCTTTTGGAGTTTCTCCAATGTTCTGGTTTGAAGAAAAGTCTCCTCCCCATAGAGGTTAGTCAGTTTAACACGTCAACTCACGAGTGCGCTCCACTGTTGTTGTTGTTGTTGATGTTGTTGGCGAACCCTCCTCATTCACCCACTGCTGTGGCACAGAGACACCGCATCGCGCCCGCTGGAATTGCGTGCCAGGGTGTCACGCCGCGCTTTTCCACTCGCCCGCTCCAGCCAGCGCCTTGCAATGGACAAGCCGTGAGATGCGGCTCGATTTACTCGTTCAATGTTTTGTTTTAGTGAAATCTCCCCCCCCACCCCCCCACACTAAAGAGGGCATCGCGGTGCTTTGCAGTATAAATGCAGCGAAGGTATGAAATCAAGACGCATGTGAAAAATATGAAAACACGAGGGGACATAGTCAAGGAAACGCTGTTGCTGCTGTGCGTTGGTTCACGTGAGTTCGCATCAATCCAGACGGACAAAGATCCCCCGTGTAGTCTTAACAGGCAGTCGGGGCAAGTGCTGCTAGCGAGCACCTATGAAGACCGGCACGGTACACGAGGGGGTGGGTGGCCGGCACCACGCCCGACCGCCTTTGTCTCCCCAGTGGCGATGTTTACACACCGCACCAGGTACTCATTTGAGGCTGAGTCGACCTAAGGGGAGGCCCACGACCGGTTCAGATAATCGTCGCTGGTGTTGGCCGAATCGAACTCGGCTCGCCGGGTTTGGTAGCGCAGCGTAGCGCTAACCACTGCACCACCGCTCCCCACGACGGACACACACACACTCACGGACACACGATGGCCATGTCAAGATTGCCAGTGACCCGCCACCGCTGTGGCGCAGCTGTCGATGAACGCAGGCGGTGCAGCTTGCATAGAGGCACGGGGTCGGAAGGGGCCCAGGACGTGAGGGTAAAGAAAGAGGAGAGGGGACATTTGACAAAGGGCACCGGTTAATTCCTGGAATCAGGACCCCCCCCCCCCCCTTACAAAACCACGCCACTTGCGGCTCGTCTGAGACCCCGCCTGGGTATGGGTACAGGTCGCGTCGGTCCGTCATTAAACCCGGGGGTTTCCAGTGTGCTGTAATGAGTTGGTGGTCTCTGACCTGCCACCAATATACGAAGAAACATCACGGCAACATCTGTTGGTACAACGTTCGGGGAGGCTCCCACCGGGGAGATGGAGCGATTAAATCGGCCCGTGTGCCGGGATTCCTCCAGGTCGACTCAGCCATAAATGAGTACCTGGGTGGATTATTACATCGCGGGCGCAACAGAGGTCGCGGCGGCAGCTTGGGGAGGCCTTCGACACAGCAGTGGAGCGACCAAATCGACATTCAAACCTTCCGTTTATCCCCACCCCGTGGGCAGCGTGACGGTAAAGCCGATAGAAAGCTCAGGAACCAGGTCTCACACTCAGAACCAGGTCTCACACTCAGGACCAGGTCTCACACTCAGAACCAGGTCTCACACTCAGGACCAGGTCTCACACTCAGAACCAGGTCTCACACTCAGGACCAGGTCTCACACTCAGGACCAGGTCTCACACTCAGGAACCAGGTCTCACACTCAGGACCAGGTCTCACACTCAGGACCAGGTCTCACACTCAGGAACCAGGGCTCACACTCAGGACCAGGTCTCACACTCAGGACCAGGTCTCACACTCAGGAACCAGGTCTCACACTCAGGACCAGGTCTCACACTCAGGACCAGGTCTCACACTCAGGACCAGGTCTCACACTCAGGACCAGGTCTCACACTCAGAAACCAGGTCTCACACTCAAGAACCAGGTCTCACACTCAGGACCAGGTCTCACACTCAGGACCAGGTCTCACACTCAGGACCAGGTCTCACACTCAGGACCAGGTCTCACACTCAGGACCAGGTCTCACACTCAGGACCAGGTCTCACACTCAGGAACCAGGTCTCACACTCAAGAACCAGGTCTCACACTCAGGACCAGGTCTCACACTCAGGACCAGGACTCACACTCAGGACCAGGTCTCACACTCAGGACCAACACTCTAACTAAGGACCAGGTCTCACACTCAGGAACCAGGTCTCACACTCAGGACCAGGTCTCACACTCAGGAACCAGGTCTCACACTCAGGACCAGGTCTCACACTCAGGACCAGGTCTCACACTCAGGACCAGGTCTCACACTCAGGACCAACACTCTAACTATGGACCAGGTCTCACACTCAGGACCAGGTCTCACACTCAGGACCAGGTCTCACACTCAGGAACCAGGTCTCACACTCAGGACCAGGGCTCACACTCAGGACCAGATCTCACACTCAGGAACCAGGTCTCACACTCAGGACCAGGTCTCACACTCAGGACCAGGTCTCACACTCAGGACCAGGTCTCACACTCAGGACCAGGGCTCACACTCAGGACCAGATCTCACACTCAGGAACCAGGTCTCACACTCAGGACCAGGTCTCACACTCAGGACCAGGTCTCACACTCAGGACCAGGTCTCACACTCAGGACCTGGTCTCACACTCAGGACCAGGTCTCACACTCAGGACCAGGTCTCACACTCAGGAACCAGGTCTCACACTCAGGACCAGGTCTCACACTCAGGACCAGGTCTCACACTCGCTTGATTCATGCGAGGGGGGTTGGGGAGGAAGGGTTGGAGGGTCACGATGGGGTGGAAGGGATCTCACACTCGGATAAAGACAAAGCTCCCCCGTGTAGCCCACACCGACTGTTGGAGCAAGTACTGTGAGCGAGCATCTCATAAGGCCGAGACGTCGCTGGACGGGGTGGTGTGGTCGGATAATCACCCGTCCGCCTTTGTCTCCCGAGTGGCGATGTGTATACATCGCAGCAAGTACAGTACTCATTTGAGGCTGAGTTGACGTAGGGGAGGCTCGGGACCGGTTCAGATAATCGTCACTGGTGTTGATTCGCTGTGAGCGGGAATCGAACTCGTGTGGCCGGGTTCGTAGCGCCAGCGCGCTAACCGCTACGCTCACACTCCACCAACACTCTATAAATATATATTTTTTTATTTTGCCATGTAAGGCCCTACTGAGCTATACAGCTCTTTTTCAGAAGCGACCTGATCACAAACGATAGCTCAACGAGGTGGCTTATCAGCAGCAGCATCATCAACATCATCATCATCACGCGGGAATGCATTGCAGCCAAAAACTCTGAAACGGACGTTGATTCCACACTCACGCCGCGCTCTCACTGCTCGCTGATCCCTCTGATGCCCGCGTCTATCGGGGGGCTTGGGGGAAGAGAGGAGCGCGCTGCGAGTTATTGTTAGGATGTGTGAAGCGCCGGAATCAGCGCCGAACGGAGTGTTATAATCCCGTGGCTTCTTTCCCCCCCCCCCCCCCTTTCTTTCCCATCTGCGCTCTAACCCGAGCCGAGCAAAGACTCATTTGGAGGCTGCCATGTGCGAATTCGCTCGCAAATGAGCGTGCCAAAAAGCCTCGGGGCTACGCGGGGGGGCGGGGGGGGGGGCGCACGCAGCGAGGAATCTCGAGTCACGTCGGACGCGCTTCTTGGGTGGTTCGCTTTTGCCGGCCGACCGGTGCCAGGAGGAGACCCTTGAACAGTGGTCAAGAGCGGATAGCGAGAGGACGTGCCGGATGTGCTGAGAATTATCCCTGGAAACGTCGCCTGTTATTTATACGCGTTGCTTTTTTTATTTTCTTATTTAGTGATTCGCAATGTTGTTGTTGTTGTTGACGAATTGTGTTGAGTTGATTCTAGATTTATAGCTTTCGTGACTGCAAGGATCCATACTCCAGCGCTGTCCACCAGACAGTCTCGTCCCTTCACCTGATGAAGGCCGCTTGTGTTGTGGCCGAAACGTCGTGAGAATATTATTGCGTTATTTTATTTTATCAATTTATTATTTTATTCTCATTCTACGTGACTTTACCGAAAGAACCAAAGAAGAGGATCCATACTCTTTTGGTTCTATTCGAATAGAACCAATGAGTGTGTTGGGTTGTTTTTTGTTGCTGCTGCACGTTTTAGCTACGTACGGTGCGAACGAAGTTCAGCTTACATACACGGTGAACTTCTTTCGCACCGCATGTAGCCAACCGCGCTAATCGGAGGTGTTTGTTTGTGTGCACCAGTGCCAACACGCCAGCAGCAGCAGCGTCACTAAATCATGTGCGTCTCAAATGACCCTTAATGATCGGGTCGCTTCCGCGCGCTGTTTGTTCGACGTCTTAAGATTGCCGCTGAGATGATTTCAACGCGTTCTAAATAGAGTTTGCCAGTGGCCGTATTCGTCAGCATCATCATCATCATCAGCAGCAGCAACAGCCATTGTCTATTCAATGCTGGATGAAGGCCACCTTCCCACGCTGTCTCCATCCCTCACATCGCATCGCAGGGGTCGGAGGTCGCCACAGTCCTCTGGCGTTCCTCCTCGTCACGACAAGAACCACGGGCGACCGATCGTCGAACTCCCCAGCCAGAGACGCAACTTCGCATCGTTCCTCCGAGCAACACGTGGGCGAGGAGCAGATCGCTGGCGCGCGCAGGCTGTGACCTTTACCTTTGCTATCGTAAAAATATATCGCGAACCGCAGCACTAGCTCGATACGAGCCCATACATGCCGGGGACAGCGCCAACCCCCTCCCCTCAACTCCCACACAAACCCCTCCGCTGCTCATGACCCCCGACCCCGCACCTCCTCTCCTCCTTCCCTCCACCTTCCAACCACTGCCATCCCCCAAACCAAATCGTCCGCAGCCACGTGGCCGCGCGTGTGGCCCCGCGTGTGGCCCCGCGTGTAATTGCCCCGGCTCCGCGTGGCGGTGACAGATACCGATGGGCCCGCTCGTGCTGCGCCGCGGCGTGCGGGCTACTGTATGAGCTTCCTTTGGGGGGGGGGGGGGTGGGGTGGGGGGACGCGGCGCTCTACTGCGAGAGCCGCAGCACACCGAGCGCTGCGACTCTCGCAAAGGCGCGCGAGATGAGATGGGCGCATCGCTTGATCCCAGCCAGGTAAGTGGCCCCCCCATAATAATACTAATAATAAGAGTGATTATCAGCCCTGTAGCCACGCACTGCTGGATGAAGGCCTCGCTCACCACGCCGTGTCGGCCTTGGGGCTTGTTCGACCCCAACACTTCACGGCGCTGCTCGATGCGGGTTCGTGCAGCGGAGCCCAGGGATCTGGTTCGGATCTCACGCGTCACTGGTGCTAGTCGTGGCTGGGGATCGAACGTGGGTGGTTGGGTTTGTCGTGTATTGCGCTGATTGCTGCGCCACCGTCACCACTGAAATGTTCAGAGGCAGAATGCGGCCGGGGCTCAGATTCTGGCTTCGAATCCGGGCTGTGGTTGAACCGGCATCTCAAGGCTCCTCATCCCGGAGGATCCGGTAATATTACAAATAAAATAGAACTCTGCACATTCTTTATTAGCACAGCCTTATGATAGAATATACGTAGCTAGTTCGTTTGCCCGTCCTAAGACGGAAGCTGTAATATTTAATAATTTTTTTAGCAGAGTATCGGAGTTTAGGACCAACACGTTGGCCGTGGCTGATCATTGTTTTAATGCGGTTGGCTCGCACGAAATATATTTCTCTAAGAGGAAGGTACTTTGTAAGCCCACTGGCTATCAACAAAGATTCGTTCTTGAAGCCATCCATATGTACAGTCACAGACGCAATTTCAACCGAGAGGATGGGTGCAAACGCAGCAATCATTGGAAAGACGTCATCAACCAGTTTCAGTCTTAATTGGCTGTGATGTTCCCATCCTGCCACCTTCCGATGTTAGTTTTTAAAAATTTTCCCCGTGGCTGCGGCTCTCCGATTTCACGTCAACAGGTTGAATTTCTCGCGCCAATGTGGCCACCTAAAAGACGACGGCCTCTGCGTCGCTGTGGCTCTCCGATCTTACATTAACATGCTAATTTATGACATTAACACGTTAATTTATGACATTAACATGCTAATTTATGACATGAACATGTTAATTTATGACATTAACATGCTAATTTATGACATTAGCATGTTAATTTATGACATTAACATGCTAATTTATGACATTAACATGTTAATTTATGACATTAACATGTTAATTTACGTCATTAACATGCTAATTTATGACATTAACATGCTAATTTATGTCATTAACATGTTAATTTATGTCATTAACATGCTGATTTATTACATTAACATCACTAGCCCCGCCCACTTCGTTTCTGACCCTAGGACTACGCCCTATGAAACAATCTGCATTCAGCAGTTTTCCCCTCTTCCCTCCTGATGATGATCGCTTGTGTTGTGATCGCAACGGCGTAGTTTTTATTTATTTTATATTTATCATTTTTATTAATTTGTACCTATCTACGTGACTTTGCCGAAAGACCCAAATAATAGAGTATAATTGTATCTTATGTCAATTTAATGGCAGTGAATCTTGCACAAAACTATGTCATAAAACACCTCGCTTCATGTCACTGTAGCACTGTATATAACTGACCTTCAATTTGTTCAAATTCACTGACATAATAGGATGACGTTTAAATGACGTTGCAGGTAACGGTTCTCATCAAGAGCCGATTTTTTTTCCCCCGATTGTTAATTTTTTTTTATTATTATCACTCATTATTTTGTCTGTAGTGATACAATCGTGCACCTTGAAGAAACATCCTCAAAAGCCCGCGACGGACTGGGTTCACGAACCCAATCGCTGTCATTTCTCAACTCTTTGGACACCAAGCAGTTTGGCGGGTCCTGTGAGTCGGTAATGATCTCCGCGCGATCCGCTAACCCTCAGCTGCCTCCGAGTCGCTGTTGCACAGCGAGCGAGGAACGCACGGCCGAACGCGTGGACATTGCACCTACAGCTGACCTACACGCCAATCACGCAATGCACAACTTCGGAATTCCCTCCTCTCGTCTCTTTCGCCCCCCCAATAATCTTATCGCCGAGCTCAAATGCAACGCCTGCAGTTAACCGCTCCCCCCCCCCCCCGCCGCCGCCCCCCATCTGTGCCGATGAGCGTCGTCGTCACTGACAGATTTGAATGGACTCTTAACGGTGCTCTTTGTTGCTGGCCGCTCAGCGTTCGTTGTCCTTTGGGGGCCCTGTGCTCAGCCACTGTTTGCTGTGGTCGTTGTTGTCGTTGTTTGTTAAAACGACATTCGCACTTCTCGCCATTGAATTCATGATCGCGGCTCAGTAGTGGCGATCACAATTCCACAGTCGATTCCACAGACCAATCAGTGCCGGATTATCCTAGTATCACAAGTAGCTACTACATATGTAGTAGTAGCTACGGGCCCCGCACTTTCAAGGGCCCCGCGCTAAATTCTTTCAAGCTATCAATTCCGGTTCAGTGATTCTGCACTTGCTTAATTACTATAGTACTATACTGTACTCTTTGGTTCTTTCGGTAAAGTCACGTAGGTATAAAATGAAATAAATCATGACGTTTCGATCGCAACACAAGCGACCGTCATCAGGTGGAACAGACACAGCAGGAGAGCTGCTGACATAGGAGAAAGAGCTGCTCCAACAAGAGTTTATATCGAATTTTGGTGGGCTCAACCCAAGGGGAAGTGGGCGGAGCTAGTGAATGCATTTGTAGGTAAATGTGAGAGATTAGCATGTCAATGTGAGATATTAGCATGTCAATGTAAGAGATTGACATGTCAATGTAAGAGAGATTAGCATCTCAATGTGAGAGATGAGCATGTCACTGTGAGAGATTATCATGTCATTGTAAGATAGATTAGCATCTCAATGTGAGAGATGAGCATGTCATTGTAAGAGAGATTATCATGTCATTGTAAGAGAGATTAGCATGCCAATGTGAGAGATTGACATGTCAATGTAAGAGAGATTAGCATCTCAATGTGAGAGATGAGCATGTGAATGTGAGAGATTAGCATGTCAATGTAAGAGAGATTAGAATGTAAATGTAGATATTAGCATGTCAATGTGAGAGATTGACATGTCAATGTAAGAGAGATTGGCATGTCAATGTAAGAGAGATTGACATGTCAATGTAAGAGAGATTAGCATGTCAATGTAAGAGAGATTAGCATGTCCGTGAGACGGTCCCAGCCACCGGAGGTAGCGGGGATCCTCCAGTGGCTGGGCCACCTCACAGATATTTAGCCTGGTGATGTACTCAGAGAGTCGGAAATATCAGCTGACATAAGACTTTACTTGATTAATAACGACCTTCCAATGATTGCTCAGTTTGTACCCATCTTCTCGGTTGAAGTTGGGTCTGTGTTTATATATCTGGATGGCTTCATGAACAAATCTCTAATAATAGCCGGTGGGTTTGCAGAGTACCTCCGTCTTGGAAAAATCTATTTCGTGTGAGCCCGCAGCATTAAAACAATGATCATCAACGGCAGAGGTATTGGTCCTACCGTGTTTCAAATCTGCCTTGTGTTCACGAACGCGGTCCGAGACATGTCGTTTCGTTTTCCCAATGTAACTGCTGCCGCAACCACAACTCAGTTTGTAGACACCAGGGTATTGCATGTCAGGAATCACATCCTTTACAGATGGGATTAAATCACGGATGTGTGTACTGTGTTGAAACGAACCTGGATCTTGTGTTTGTTTCAGATTTTGGAAATCTTTTTGGTAACCCCTGCTATGTTCGGTAAAGTGATGGTTTTGGTTGGATCCTCAGAAGGTTGTCTCTGCATGGCTGGGGAGACAGCTTTGCGGATTGTACGGTCAGAGTATCCGTTCATCTTGAGGGCTTGGTGTATGTGCTCCAACTCACTGGCTAGGTGGTGCTGGTCGGAGATGCAACGGGCCCTATGGTGTAGAGTTTTTATGAGGGAATTCTTCTGGGCTGGATGGTGGTGGGAGTCAGGCTTTAGATAGGCATCCGTGTGGATGGTTTTCCTGTAGACCGAATGTCCCAACGAGCCATCAGGTCTCTTCTTGATCAAAACATCCAGGAATGGTAGCTTGTCATCCTTTTCCACTTCCATGGTAAATTTGATAGACGGGTATATGGAATTGATGTGGTTGAGAAATTGGTCCAGTGCTGGCAGGCCATGTGGCCAGATGACCAACGTGTGATCTACGTAACTCTTCCACACGGAAGGACGTAGGGTGGATGTCTGGATGCCACATCTGTCTCAAATTTCTCCATGAAAACATTCGCTACCACTGGCGATAAGGAAGAACCCATTGGGGTACCCTCATTTTGTTTGGGCCCTTTTATAACAGCATATGCTACAGGCCGCGTGCTAGCTGAATCCGGCAGTGAGTCCAATGCAATATCCACCCTGAAGAGAGTTTTAAGACTCACTGCGGATTTGTCGTTGTTGTTATTGATGGCACATTGTGTTCGCTGTTAAACCTTTGCTATGTGCACCTGTACAGCGCTCTTCGTCAATCCACTTGCTGGACAAGAACCTCGCCACGCCGTTCGGGTAACAGGAGCTAGTCTTGGGCCATACTTGGGTGGTGAATGCGGGCAGCATAGAGAAGAACAGTACAACAACAATTCGCGTTGCTGCCCCGGCCCTCGCATTGACCCGGCAAGTCCTACAGTGAGCTGCCTCTGTAAGCTGCTGCTCGACCATTGAGGCACTTATCCAGGCTCAAAGCCTGCTTAGATGTTCCGTAGATGCGATCATATTGGCAATAGGGAGTGGCCCGGGGGTGGAGGCTATGTGTGAATGGAAGGCGGTGAGACTGCGTCGCCTGCCCCGGGTATTGTTGTGGTGGTGGTGGTGGTATTCGGTGTACCGCTTAAACATTGACACGGCATTCACGTCGGCACGCGCTCGCCGTTGTGCCACGGCCGCGTATGGAGGGCGAAACGTGGAAGTTCCCCCTTTTAATTTTGCCCACCGTGAGCCAAGGTGTGAGGGGGAAATGTTACCAGTGGCCACCTCGGGCAAAAAGCTTGAGGCGTAGCCTGTTAGCGCGCTGCGCTGCAAACCCGCCGACCCGAGTTCGATTACCGCCGCTCACAGGACCGGTGATGATTATCTCAACCGGTCCTGGGCCTCCAATATGACTACCTGATGCGACGTGAAAAAACATCGTCACTTGGGAGACAAAGGAGGCCGTGCGTGGTGCTGGCCACCCACTGCCTCGTGTGCCTTGCCGGCTTTCATAGGCCCTCGCTAACTGCACTTGCCCCAACAGTCTGTTGGGGCTATACTGGGGATATTTGTCTTTGTGTGTGGCACGCAGTGGAAAGGAAACTGCTCTCTAAACCTGACTACCCGAGGTTTTTCCAGCCATGATTTCACATCAGTATTCTGGGATTCCTCTCGGAAGGCTCAGCCATAAATGAGTACCTGGTGTGGTTTGGAATCATTAGCACTCGGGAAACAATGTTAGTAGGAATTGGCCATTTTCATAGGTTGAGATTAAGAGTTCAAGGTTAAGGGTTTATCATTTTACTACCTTTCACCTCCGCACGTTCAATGTATGGGATACAGCCAGGATCACGCCTTTGCCCCAAACCTAACTCGATCGTTCATTCAGTGCCATGAAAGTCCCGTGCCATCTGTACACACCGTCCAGACAACTAAAGCCCCATCAACCTTGGCTTGGCTTTCCCACGCTAGCTCATCCTGTCGATTGAGGTGCAGCTACCGAGCTATTATGGGGCTTATTAGGGAGCGTTTGAGTCCCTAAATTATAAGTGGATGCGGAGTAAAATTACAATAGCTGCAACTGAACCCCATGCTTAGCTGCGCAGTGGTGATGTCTCTAGCGGTCCCACATTCACCTTTTTTTACCAATTTTCACCACATTGCCGTGACAAGATGCATACGAACTATCTGAAACATTGTAACAATCGGTTACTGCATGTTCACCAACATGGAAACCGACACTTAAATCATCTAAACCGGGGAAGTTTCCGGAGAGAAAACTCGACATTATTTGCGGCCATATTGACAAAAATGGCTGCCAAGTTGGATTGTGAAGCAGCTAAGGGCTTGGAGTTTGTTCATCTGTCATTATCGCACAGCGTCACAATTTGAACGATTCATGTGAAGGGGGAAAACAATGCACTTATCCGCTCCACTGCGGGAACGTGTTAGCAACGCGCTGTAAAGTTACCTGCGGCGGGTGAACTCAAACCAGTCCCCACGTCATTCACTGCTTCAGTGAATGACGTGGGGCTCTCAGGATTGCGACTTTGCAATCTCGTGGCTATCTCTATTGCCTCCACCTTGTTTTTCACATCGTGGAGATGTATCCAAAATTGTATCGTGCCTTCATTTGCAGGCAGACAATGGTGTATTTGTGGGGGATTTTTTTTTATTCTAAAAATACAAATCTATCATTACTATTTGTATGTTTCCAGGAAAGGTCCCGCTGAGCTATATAGATCTTTTTCAGAAGCGACCTGGCCACACATGGTAGCTCATTATCGCGTGGAATGTATTGTGGCCAAGTACTCTAAACGCGTGTTTTTTTTAAGTGGAGCGGAAAACCGCAGGACCCGGAGAAAAATCCACGCGATCATGGGGAGAACATGCATCGTCGATAGAGCGTGGGGATGCCTTCAGCCAGCAGTGAATTGGAGTGCAAACTTGCCAATTAAACCCTCTCTCTCTCTTTTATTTGACCAGGTAAGATCCACGAAGCTATGTAGCTCTTTTGTTTAGAAAGCGACCTGGCCACAAATGATAGCTCAACGAAGTGGCCTATCGTGTGGAAATGTATAGCAGACAAATACTGGAAACGCGCGTTGATTGTAAATATGGAGGGAAAACCCAGAACACCCGCAGAAAAAA